GCTGCATGCCTGGCACATAGTCAGTGCTCCAAAGAGATTTGATGTGTCAGTAGTTGACAACTTCATCAATTTTCTCTTTATGTATTGTTGCAGTGCTGCAAAATGCCTAACAAAATAAACACTTGACAAATATTTTCTAAATGAATGATTCTTCTCAGTGAAATAGGAAGTGAATTCATTTATTAAGATGATAACTAAATCATTTTAAGTTCTACCCATGCGTGAGGCACTATAATAAGCACTTATACGCTAGCTGCTATAACAAATAAACCACGGTGTTGCAGTGGTTTCCATAATAAAAGTTTCTTTCTTACTTGTTAACACTACAAAATGGCTGTTCCTGATGGATGGGCAGCTCTCCTCCTTTCAGAGACCTAAGTCCCTTCCATCTCCCAGTCTCATCATCTCCTAGGCTCTTACCTTCAAATGAGAGAAAAGGTTGAGAATGAGGCACCTGGTCCCACAGAGATGCTAAGAGACTAGAAAGCCACCTCCTAGGGAGAGCTCTGTATTATAGAAACGAAGACATGAATTTTGGTGGACACTCATCCACCTCTTCTACACATGAGTTCCTTACCATTTACAATAGCCCTATGAAAGAGGTACTTTTATCTCCATTTTACAGATAAGGCTACTGAGGCACAGACCTGTCTAAAAACAATAAGGTTCTGATTTGGGATTTAAACTTAGGTCCATCTGACTCAATAGCCTCTATTGTTAATCACTAGACCAGTGTTTCTCAAGTGGAGACAATTTTATCCCCAAGGGACAAGGGGACATTTGGCAATGTCTGTTGATATATTTTATTTTTTGGGAGGCACTATCGGTATGTAGTGGGTAGAAGCCAGGAATGCTGCTAACCATCCTAGAATGCATAGGACACCCCAATCCCCAATATACACACACACAACAAAAAATTATCAGGTCCAAATTGTCAGTAGTGCCAGGGTTGAGATATTCTGCACTAGACTGTATACTACCCATGATGGTAGAAGGTAAGGTCGAGGCAAGATATGATTGAAAAAGATTAGGAACAGCTGCTGTGAGGAGTAAGCTAAATGTTAATTATGTAAAGGATTGTCGAATAGCAGAAAGGTGCTGGTGGTTGCTGAATGTGGAAGAAGGTAAATGGTTCTATTATTTTTCTATCAGCTACTTGGTATTTCTGGGACTTGATCGTATTTTTGAAAAAGTAAGTGATCTGTACTTTACTGGGTGAAAACATTAACCTTTAAACCATTTTATTTCTGAACTCAGGTGGACAAGACTCATCCTTTTATTACATCCAGTCCCACAAATGGGCTCAAATCCATTAGAGAAGGCTGGCTCTCTCCCAACCCATATGACACGAATTTTGGTGATGTACATTTTTATGACTATATCAGCGATTGTTGGGATTGGAAGACTTTCCCAAAAGCTCGATTCATTTCTGAATATGGATATCAGTCCTGGCCTTCCTTCAGTACATTAGAAAAGGTAAGCCATCTTTGATTTCCTAGTGATTCAGAGTGGTGGACTATGGGCATATGTCACTTCCTCAGGCATGGTTCAGAAAGTCTACTTCTCATCTAAATTAAAGTTTAGGAAGAAGATGATAGAAGATAACTTTTTTTCTTTAACCTTTGCGGAGCTAAACTTTTGCAGTCATCATTTTAGAGAATATAACTTTTTATATTGCTTTTAATTATGTTCCTTCAGGAGCATTTGAAAATTAAATGGGAACCAAAGGTTGCTTAACCCTGACTTATTATCACACGTGAAAGTAACTCTCACTGGCTATTTTCTGTACATCCTACAACTTTTTTTTTTTTTTTGATCATTTACAGATATTCAGAACTGGATAGTGTGCTACAGTGAGAGAAATGAATGTGAAAATAAATCTTTGTCTAATGTTATCACATCATATCATTTCTTTTCTCTCTTCTTCCATTTCCTCTTCCTCTTCTTCCTCCTTTTTCTTTATTTTGGTGTATTTGATTTTCAGTATGGCATTCCACTTTCTCTATTCCTGCAGATTCAGTTTCATAGATGGATTCAGTTTCGGAGTTTCTGTTCTTTTTTAAACAACTTTAGTGAGACATAATTCATTGACCATCCAACATACCCATTTAATGTGTACAGTTTAATGGTTTTCAATAGATTCCCAGAATTGTGAGCCTTCGTGTCATAATTATAGAACATTTCATTACCCCAAAGAAACTCTATACGCATTACTAGTCACTCCCCGCTCTCTCTGTCTCTCTTACACCAGCTCTAGATACTACAAATCTGCTTCGCATGTCTATATATTTGCCTGTTCTTCATATTCCATATAATTGGAATCATAAAATATGTGAACATTGGAGACTGTTCTTTTACACAGCATAAATTTTTCAAGATTCATCCATGTCGTATCATCTATTAGATTAGTATGTCATTCTTTTTTACCAATGAATAATATTCCATTGTATGGATATACCACCTTTTATTTGTTCATTGTATGTACATTTGTGTTATTCTGACCTTTGGGCTATTACTGAAAAATGCTGCTGTAAACATTTGTGTACCTGTTTTTGTGTGAACATATATTTTCAAGTCTATTAAGTTTATACCTAGGAGTGGAATTGCTGAGTCATATGTTAACTTTGTTTAACATTTCAAGGAACTACCAAACTGTTTTCCATAGTGGCTGCACCATTTTACATTTCCACCAGCAATGTATGAGAATTTCAGTTTCTCTGTATTCTTGCCAACACCTGTTATTTCCTGTTTTTGTTTTTCTTTTTACATTTCCTTGGAAATTTACATTTACAGGAAATTTACATTTTGTTGGTGGCTGATCACATTGAGTGTGTTTTTATGTGTTGGCCATTTGTATATCATCCTTGGAGAAGTGTCTGTTCAAACATTTTGCCCATTTTTAATTGAGTTATTTATCTTTTCATTATTAAGTTGTAAGATTATATATATATATATATGACACATATTATTACATATATACTATATATACTATATATAATATATAATATATAATATATGTATATCATATATCTGATAAAGAACATATCCAGATATGTCCATATATATTCTAGATATGTTGTTTATCAATTATGTAATTTGCAAATATTATCTCCCAATTTTTGGGTTGTCTTTTTACTTACTTGATGGTATCATTGAAAACATAAATATTTTTAATTTTGATGAAGTCCTACTTATTAATCTTCTTTTTAATCTCAGTGCTTTTGGTGTTGTATCTAAGAAAGCGTTACCTGACCTAGTCACAAAGGTTTATAACAGTTTTGTCTTCTAGTTCTAGCTCTTAAATTTAGGTCTATGATCTATTTCGGATTAGTTATTCTATATAGTATGAGGTGGATATCCAGGTTCATTCTTTTGCATGTGGATGTCCTAACACTATTTACTGAAAACATTATTCTTTCCCTCATTATCAAAGATCAATTGACTATAAATGTTAAGATTTATTTTGGGATTCTCAGTTCTATTTCATTGGTCTGTATGTCATGTCTATTTTATGCCAGAATGCACTGTCATGATTACTGTAGCTTTGTGTAAGTTTTGAAAGCAGGAAGTGTGAGTCCACCAACTTTGTTCTTCTTTTTAAGATTCTTTTGACTGTTCTGGGTACTTTGCATTTCCATATGAATTTAGAATCACCATGCTAATTTCCACAAAAAAGCATCAGTTTGCAAAGTATTGCCATCTTAACAGTATTGAGTATTCTGATCCATGAACATGTAATGTCTTCTTTAATTTTTTTCAACACCATTTTGTAGTTTTTAGTGTACAAGTCTTGTACTTCTTTGGTTGTTTATTCCTAAATATTTTATTCTTTTGCTATTGTAAATGAAATTATTTTCTTAATTTTATTTTCAGATTGTTCATTACTAGTGTATAAAGATACAATTGATTTTTGTATATCGACCTTACTTTCTGCAGCCTTGCAGAACTCACTTATTAGCTCTAATAGTTTTTTTGTGATTTTTAAAAAGAGTTTTCTATACATAAGAGCATATAATTTGCAGATAGAGGTAGTTGTATTTCTTCCTTTCCAATCTGGATGCCTTTTATTTACTATTCTTCCCTAATTGCTCTGGCTAGGACCTCCAGTACAATGTAGAATAGAAGTGGTGAGAACAGACATTCTCGTCCCATTCCTTTTCTTAGGGAGTAAGCTTTCAGTCTTACTGTTTTGTATGATGTTTACTGTAGGTTTTTCATAGATGCCCCTTATCAGGTTGAGGGAGTTCCCCTTTATTCTTAGTTTGCTCAGTGCTTGTATCATGAAAGGGTGTTGGGTTTTGTCAGATGTTTTTTCTTCATCTATTGAAATGATCGTGTAGTTCTTGTCCCCCTCCCCCACCACTTATGCAAAGTAACCACAAAAAAAGTTTTAAGACAGTTTCAAAATCTTCCTCAATTTCACCACCTAAACACAAGGATGTTTACTTCTGCACATCGAAGTTCTATTGTATTTTAAACTTTAATAAGTAATGCCATAAACTTAGTTTTACCCCTTTTTTAAAATTATTATTCCCATATTGTGAGAAACCAAGGAAATGAAGGCACTGGAGAGTGAGAGTTCTATTTATGTCCCTAGAGAGTAAGTAACATATCTGGATCCAAACTTATTATCAGACTCCAGACCATTTTCCTTTCACTATATTTTAGAAAGGTGAGTTTTAGAAATTGCTAAACAATTTATAAAAATCTATAAGCATTTCTATTCACCTCCTGAAAATAATGGATTTGCCATGTTTTTGTGAAATGCCTCATGATGTTCAAAGATACTAAACACCAGATTTTAGAGCAGGGAAAGATGAAGAGAACCCTTTATTTAGTCATTGCCTCTTTTCAAGTTACATTGCTTAGTTGAGGATTTGAATAGGTAATTGGGAAAATAAATGGAACCCAAAGAATAACTTTACATAAAAATTTGACTTTTATATTCAACAAAAACATTAAAATGTTTCTTTCCAGTTTGGGATACATTACTTCTTTGTACACTAATCATATTTGCAACAGGCAGTTATCAGTACTGCACAGTGATTAAAAGCTTGGGCTTTGGAATAAAACATCTGGATTTGAATTTAGAACTGCTCCACGGTAGCTATAAAGCTTTGTACAAATTAATCTTTTTAAATTTCAGTGTCCTTATCTATAAATTAGGGTGAATAGAAGTAAATACCTTTTAGGAGTGTGTGTGTGAATGTGTGTGTGTGTGTGTGTGTGTGTACCCACACATGCAGGTGTGCATGTGTGAATGTGATCGTGTGTAAAATTTAAGTCAATTAATACATTGAAGCACTTAGCACAATTCTTGACACATACTGAGAGCCATAAATGTAAGCTATTGTTGCTATTCATAAGGGCCATTCTTGTAATATGATTTGTATGATCGTTTTATTTTCTTTAGCTGCATCTAGATTTAAAGAACTAGAGGCTGGAGCTAGATTGCACCAATTAGTTTTGGATCTTGGGCGAGTTACTTAACTTCTCTGTGCCTGGTTTTTTCATCTGTAAAATGAGGTGATAATAGTGCCTACTCATATTGTTATTATGAGAATTTAATGAGTTAATATTCTTAAAGCAATTAGAATCTCACCTGGTGCTTTCTAATTCCTTCTGGTAACATCATTAAAAACTGAAATTTATGACTTCCAAATGGTAGCTATCAGAAGGTAGAAAGCTTCCCACATAGCAGAAGATCGGGTTCACTTATTATGGGATACATTCAAATCATTACTGATCAGAGAGAGGGCTGAGAGATTCACAGGTGTGTTTCAGACTTTAAAAAGGAAGATGCATAAAAAAGAAAGGAAGACTGTTGGTAAAGGTATGTGCATCTCAGATCTGTAAAGATGACTGTAAATACTAATACATCTTTTAAATAAATAATAGGAGTAGTTAGTGTTCTCTAAATTGTCTGGTGGTAACAGTTTCAAAAAATAGATATAATTTTGAAAAACTTCCATGTTAGATATGGCTAATATATATTACCTATATTTGGTATAAATAAATTCCTAAAGAATAACTTTTTCTTTTTAAGATGATTTGTCTGAGCATTAATTGATTACTGGGAGTTATGTCATATTTTATGAACAGGGATTAAGCTTTTGAATTTTCAGGTTTTTTTAAGGGTAAGTAGAATATGTATAACTTGGATTAAAACTCTGATGTTTTCAGATGTAGCTAGCAGTTGTTTTATATCTTTCTCAAATGCTGACACTATGTTAAATCATAGGCTTAAAGGCCAGAATTATTGCTTTTTTTTTTTTTCCTTGTAAAAGGTATACTACTAACATGTATGTGGTATTTTTTTTTTTTTTTTACTTTGTTTTCTACTTGATGATAGCTTGTAAAAGGATAAAAGAAGATCTTGTAAGTTGTGCTAAGCTTAAAAAAGAAAGATTTATTATTAGGGGAAAGGAGTATCATTGTTTGGTTTATGTCTTGAACAAAATCAAAATTAAACATGTATATATTGAATATATTTAGTAATCACTGAGAAACAAATGAGCAAGTGCTAAAGCATTTACTATTTTAATAGTGATATTTTGTTCCTATTAAAGAATTGACAGTTTTAACAGAATGTTGATTTCAGTCCATTATTCAGTTTTGACCATTTATCTACTTAAGCAGATAAAATGACATTTAAAAATAAATATAACTAATGTTTTTTAAAAAAGAATAATATTTTGGTAAGGTAAGACTTTTCATGGAATTATCAAAATGTAACTTTCTAGGTTTGAATAAGGGAAGGTACAGGTGTCGAATCCTGGTTTTGTGATTCAACTTGGCACAAGTGTGGTCTTTCACCAATAACAAATGTGATGGCAAAAACATTGGTGAAACTGGAGTTGCCGAGCAAACCTTGAGCTTTTTTCCAGTGTGTAGAATACTTTTCATGTTTGTCAGAAATGTGTAGAAAAGTAGCTTTACTCCCAGCTTTCCAATTTGTACCTCTTATTCTTTATTCAAAAGGTTTCAACTGAGGAAGACTGGTCTTACAAAAGCAGGTTTTCACTTCATCGACAACATCATGAAAATGGTAACAATGAAATGCTTCTTCAGGCTGAACTTCATTTCAAACTACCGCAAAGCACAGATCCATTACGTGCATTCAAAGATACCATTTACCTTACTCAGGTAAGGCATTTTCATTCTGGAGTTAACAGTCTTGTGCAGTTAACATAAAAGATCATGTAGATTTTGTAAACTTTATGTGGTGAAAACAATTTGGTTTTTATTTTACTGATTAAGGAATTTATCTTCTTCAAAATAGATGTATGATAACATATAACACTTGAAACAGTTACTTTTTAGTGTTTGTCTCTCTTACAAGAGCAGCTCATAAAGTGCTACAACAAATTGTGCATTAAAATATTCCCTCGCTCAAAATTATTATAATGGTCCAGTAATTAAAACAGTAACATTTCCTAAGGATAAAATGGAACAATGGAACACAATAGAGTACAGAAACAGATTCATGTGTAGTATAGTTACCTGACTTATGGCCATGATGTCACTGTAATCCTGTGGGAACGGATAGTCTTATCACTGAGCAGTGCTGTATCAAGTGGGAATCTTTACGGGGTAATAAATGAACTATGACTCTAACTCCAGATACAGAAATTAACTTTATCAATGACTAAAGATTCAGTCATGAAAGGTAGTGCTATAAATCTTCTAGGAGAATACTTATAGGAGAATATCTTCATTACCTTGGCATAGGCAAACATTTCTTAAACAGTACATAAAAAAACTCTATGAAAGAAAATAATGGTAAATTGGACTTCATTAACATCATAGACTTTTGTATATCAATGGCACCATTTAGACAGAGAAAAGGCAAGCCACGGATTGGAGAATAATATTTGTAGTACATATATCTGAAAAAAGATTTATACAAAATAAAAATTTCTATAAAGCAATAAGAAAAAGGCAGATATAACCTATTAAAAAATGGATGAAAACCTTGAATAGTCACTTCACCAAAGAAGATGTCCAAGTGGCCAGTTAAGTATATGAAAGTAAGCTCAATTTCATTCTTAATCAAGAAAATTCCACTTAAAGTCATGCCTGGATACTTCTACACACAATGTAATTTTAGCACAATGGCTAAAATTAAAAAGATTGACATTACCAACTGTTGGTGAAGAGGTCATGTCAATCTTTTAGACATTGTTAGTAGGAGTGGAAATTTCCAAAGTGTTTAACCACTTTGGAAATTTTTACAGTTGTTTCTACGCAAGTAAAACATTTGCTTCCTCTTCGAATCAGCATTTCTGCTCCTAGCTATGTACTCAAGAAAAATGAGTGCATATATCTGTCAACAGACATCTAAAATAATGTTCATAGCAGCTTTATTAATAATAGCCCCCATCGCTTCTTGACCTTTTGGCTAAGATCAAGTATAATAATAGCCCCCAGCTGGAAACAACCTAAATGTTCTTTAATAGAAAACTTTATAAACAAATTGTGGTATATTTATACAGTGAATACTTCACAGCAATAAAAAAGAATGAACTACTGATATCAGCATCAACTTGGATGGAACTCACAGATATTATGTTGAGCAAAAGAAACACTGAAATTCCAATACAGACAAAATCAATCAAGATGTAGCAAATTAGTGGTAACCACTCTTGTGGAGGGGGATAGTGAATTATGATTAGGAAGGGGTACAGAGACACTTTTTGGAGTACTAAAAAGTTTTTATACCTGATCTGTGTGCTGGTTACATGGGTATATAAATATGTTCAAAGTCACTGAGTTGTACACTTAAGATCTGTGAATGTTACATGATCACCTTCCCAGACTATTTTGAAAACATCTCTGTTGAGATATAATTTACATACCATACAATTCACTCATTTTAAGTGTAGAGTTAAGTGATTTTTACTATATTTATCAAGTCTTGCAACTATCACCATTATCCAATTTTAGAACATTTTTGAAACCCCAGAAAGATTCCTCGTGCCTATTTGCACTTACTCTCCTTTCTCACCTTTGGCCCCGGGCAAACATTAATCTGCTTTCTGTCTCTATAGATTTTACTTCACTCAATATTTCATATAGTTGTAATCATATAATATGTGATCTTTTGCATTTGGCTTCTTTCACTGAGCATAATGTTTTCGAAGTTCTTCCATGTTATAGCATTTATCTATATCTTATTCCTCTTACTAAATACTATTCTTTATATGATTATACCATTTTTTATTTATCTATTCATCAGCTGATGGACATTTGGATTATTACTAATTTTTGACTTATGAATAATACTGCTTTGAATACTTGCGTACAAAGCTTTGTGCATGTATTTTCATTTCTCTTAGGTAGGAATATATGAGTAAAATTACTGATAGTTTGTGAGAACTAACTTTTTAAGAAACTAGGGAACTAAATTTTAGGTAATATTTTCATCTTAATTTTCCATTTTACTTTTTTTATTTGCCTATTTTATTTCATGAACCTGTGAACTATGTAAAACTATATTAAAGTCACTGCTAAATTATCTGATGTTTTTGCCATACTTGTTTCAAGTTCTGAGAGAGACGGTAAGAGCCTAATCACGGAGCTGATCTGAGATAGATTACAAGTTTTTGTTAAACATGATCACATCGAAATTTTTGCATCTTAACACCTAAAAATATACCAATTTTTATCCAAACTCATGCTCACTCTCATCAGTTTTCTCCTATATAAAACACAAAAACCCAGATGGAAGCTGAAACACAAAACTGTAAGCCAAAGAATAGTATTTTTTAGAAGGTGCTAAATTGGTTAAGAGAATTTCAGTGTTTCAACCATAATCTTATCAGTTAGGGAAGTTTTGCCAGCATAATATGTAATTTATGAACTTACCTCATAGAACCCAAGTTTAAAGATAATGTTGATATCTCTCCCTTTTAAAGTGCTACAGTTCATCCTTATAGCTTTTCATCACCAATATTATATAAAACTGTATCCATTTGGGTTGTGAAACTGGATGATCCTTATTTGTATGTGGTGTGTGTGTGCATTTGCGTGAAACTTTTCAGCTGTTGTTTTTCAGGCTGGCTTTCCTCCTCCCAGCTGTTCATTTTATGACTGTTACTTTATTCTATTTCCTCAAAACCACATTCAGAGAACTGACATATAATTGTTCTTTCTGAACTTATTAGCATTAGAGGTACCTAGTGAAGAAGTGTGGGTGGACAGGTAGAATTATTTGTTTCTGATTTTCGTTGGTGATGTTTTTTTTCTGATAATTTAGTGGTATTGTCCTATTAGGTGTTGGCTCACAATTGGACTTGTCCTTGTTGGTTCTACCTTGGGATTTTCTGATATACCAGAAGGGATCTGAGATGAAGGAAATCAGAATTAGGATTTTTTTGGTTTAAGAGTTGGCTTTTCTTGACTGAATTACAAATAGGAAATGTTAGGGTAAAAAGTTTTTTTTCCTCCCTTGCTACTTTGATTATAGAACAGTCATCTTTAATCTGTATAAAACCTTTCTTTGGTCCATTTTCTCTGTTCTCATTCCCACCCACTGTTCTTTTTCTCATAGTCTATCAAACTATTCTGAAGAACAGGGTACTTGCCTGTGTGCCACTTTTCAGGTTATCCTATTAAGTGTTTTTTTTTTTTTTTTTTTTTTCGGCTTTCAGAAAAATCTTGGCTGAGAAAGCTGTACATTAAATTTCTTCACATTTAGATCCGTCCCTACCTTCTCTTTATCTTATAACTGCAAAAGTATCCCTGTAGGCTCTTACCCTTTAATTCTTCTAATATTCCAAAATAATCTTGCCTTGCCTTTTATTCTCTTACTTTATCCTATTGTATTGTATTCCACATAGCCTACATTCCCAGGCACACTCTCTTCATAGCCTACATTTCCAGGCACACCCTCTTAACCCATGTCACACATACCTCACTGTTTAGTTGAGGACTGTCTACACTGAAATATATAAACTAACAGTTAAGTAACTTACTCTGCCAGCATGGCCTCTTACTAGTCACTTAGAGGGGAAACTGGGCTAGTGACAATCTTTACTAACCCCTTAGCTTATAGCCCTTTCTAGTGCTATCATTTATTCTTCACATACTGATTGAGCATGTAGTGAGGGTTAGATGCTTAGGGATATCCTTGAGAAATTCATATTCTTTAGGGGTTCATTTTATTTTCTCATATTGAAAGTAACTTGATCACAAGAATTGAGAAAAAAGGCAGGCTGTGCCTCAGGCACATGTAAAAGTTAGAAGTGTAAAACTCTTAGGAGAAAGCATGAGTGGAAATCTCTCTGAGTATTTGATGACACCTGCTACCCTGGAACATCGTTTGTTTGGTAGGCAGCACTGAGATGTGATAGACGATCCAGGCCATGCTGAGCTGTTCAGGTGGGGATAAGGTGGATGAAGGAGGGGGTATTTATGTGCATTATGTAATTTAACAGTCAGGCAGACAGTCAGCATTCTTTGGTTGTCTACTAAATGCCTGGCCCTGGACCAGGAGGTGCTTTCTGTACCTTCTCATATAATTCTAATAACATTTGCAGACATCTGTGTTGTTATTTCCATTTTATATGTGAAGAAACAGAGGCTCAGAAAAGCTAATAATTTTGCCCAAGTTGCCAGGGCAATGAATGGAGCGGGCTTCTGCTTTTTGAACTATAATATTGTATCCCTTTACAGTTTCTTTTCCATTCATGATTTTGGTAAGGGGAATTTTGTAGCTACTGAAGTGTTTGGTAAATTATAACGTAAATTTTCAGCAGTTAAGTAAAGCAGACATCAGAAATTCAGCATTTTAAAAAAGACTTTATTGGAACAATAGAGAAAATCAACGAAATCAATAGTTAGTTCTCTGAGAAGATCAGCAAAATTGAAAAACCTGTAGCTAGCTTCACCAAAAAAACAGAAAAGACACAAATTACTAAATCAGGAATGAAAAAAGGAATGTTACTGTTGACCTTGTAGAAATAAACAGGGTGATAAGAGAATACTACAGACCATTGTATGACAATAAGTCATATAACCTAGTGAAATGCACACATTCCTAGAAAAGCTCAAGAAGAAATAGAAGATCTGAGTAAAACTATTACAACTAAAGAGATTGAATTAATAATCAAAAAACTTCCCTCTATAAACACGGCTTCACTAGT